ACTAATATTTGATGGGATATCTTGCGTGGGAAATAGCAAACTGTATATAGTAAAGCTTATTGCTAATAGCCGTGGAATTGAATTGATTCGTTAGTAGGCATTTGAAAGTACACCAAAGTTTGGAGTTTTGGTTCGAACCCTGATGGGTGCATACTACTGAAAAGTCCCAAACTAGGATGAAACGGCTGTTCAGTACCCCCAGCTGGCTTTCCAATGGCTCTCTAACTGATGTCAGTCCATGATAAAATCCTTCAAATAATCAAACAAAATTCTTACAAAACCAATAGCTGAACAATAGCTTTATTATGCACAATAAGTTTACACAATATGGCGAATTTTCAGCGTAGTTTATTGCATAATATTTACTCTTCATCCAGGAGTTTCAAATAAAACAACCATCTTCAGTACATCATGTGGCACAGTGGTGTTATATTTGAGGCATAAAATAATCCACGATAGGTATATGACACACAAAGAACTTTGAAAATCTACTAATAATCTTATCCCATCTATGAATATATTTCATAGAAGAAAGTAGCTGAGTGTTATATTGTTTGGTATACTTAATATTAACTGGTGTTTCCCATAAAACATTACAGAACTACAAAAATACTAACAAATAGGAAGAATAAAAACCAGAGATTTGAAAATAGTCTTTCATGTTAATGAGTAAGTAACGTTTAGCATAGCAATATTTATAATGAATAATTAACTGCAGTTCACATGCCCCACATTTTGTGATACAGAAGAAAGTATTTGATTCTAATATCATAGGGAGGAAAAGTATCAAGGCTTCTGGCATAAATTTGGAAAGATTTCAGTTAAAGTCTTAAAATTAAATAAAGTATCTATTTCTGGATGTCAGTTTAGTGAAATCTGCTAGCCTAGAATGCCTGTCGGCCTTTGTATTTTCTATTATGAATAAAAGTTGCCTTATTTTCTTCGATTTATTTGTATCTTACAAATTTTACACCGCTAAGCTTAACACATACAATAATAACATCATCAGATGAATTCTTAGATGCCTTTTGGGACTCATTATTTTATCATTCGCTAGTTGATGTTTTATCTCCCACCAATCTGTCCAATGAAACTTTGGTCGATTCTTGAATACTTGTGTTGATGCCGCCACTAAACTATGAGTAACTGATTCAGCAGTTTCCTTACAGACGAAATACTTGAACTAAATAAATGAATAAAGGGACAAAGTGGATCAATGCTTTTAGCCACTTACAAGTTATGCTCAACATTAAATATTCCAGAGTAAAAGACAATTTAGCGACGAAAATTTTCTTTATCGACGAAATCATCTTCAAATGCTGTAGAGTCGTATTTATATTTGCCAAAAATGTATAGTAGTCTATTATTGAGTAATAAGGGGGGGGCTGACATAACTGATATAATTACTCATACGTGGCTTTATAATTCCTTTACGTTCCCAGAGGAAGATGGTGCTTCAAGCTAGAGGCTTGAGGTTTCAGTAACAGTGGTGTTTATTTTTGCAGGATGAGGTTGCTAGCCTCATACCCATCCTTCCCTTTTTACTGGCCTAGCGAGGTAAAGGAGTACGTCGGCCGTTGGGATCAAACCCCAGACCAAATGAGGCGTTATTGGCGAGCATTCTACCATTGTGCCACCGACTCTCTAAAAGTAAAAGTTATGAACTGCGTGGTACTCAACCGCACAAAGGAAGCCACTTATGAGTAATTATATCAATTATGTCAGCCGCATCCCCTATTACTCAATGATAGGCTACTATATATTTTTTGTAAACATGAATACGACTCTACAGCCTGTGGGGATGTTTTCGTCGATGAAGAAAATTTTCTCCCTTGAATTGTCTTTTATTTTCTTCATGATTCAATGGCTATTCCTAAGTAGTTTTTATCAGTAAGATGGCTCTTAAAAAGGCGCTTTTAAACAAATATTGAAAACCACCATATTTAATTTTAAATTCAAACAGTGTTTTATTATCTGATACCTAGTTGTTCCATCAGACTGACTAGTAATAAAGCTGGGCAATTAAAAAGGTGAATATGTTCTGTCTTACTAATTATTAGAAACAGATGTCAGGTTATAAATTGTTTTTAAAGACCAGACTTGTATTTCTGATATAAGTATATAAATATTAACAAAAGGCTGTTTCATTTTCCTTACTGTTTCTTACTGTTTCGTGTAAAGTATGAAACATGTTTGATAAAATAGAGAATTATTTGTCAATAATTCAAGCTGTAACTGTACACGACACGCGATTATGATTTCGCCTATTATAAAGTGTCGAGCTTTAAGTAATGATGGTTTCTGACACGATAAACTACTGAACCAAGCCAAAAAATACCAGTTGACTGAGCAATAATTACAAATTCCCCTCGTCTGAATGATAACATCAATCTAAAACCCTCCGATTCATATTTTACTTCACCTCATATTAGATAGTCAAATGTTGGGTTGCTAATAAACTAGTCACATCACAAGTGTTATTTCTATCCACAGCAAAACATAATACCGTGTCATAGTGAGTATTAAGGTTTGTATCTTGTCATTCAAAAGAATTAGAGATAATTATGTTATATAGACATAAGTGAATCATTTAAAATACTACAAAGAGAGATTTTTAAAGCGATAGTGAGGGAAACATCTGTACATTAATTTTATATTATTATTATTCCTTTGGGTTCCGAGTGGAATATAGGGCTCCAGCACCACATATCCACTTTCTTCCTTTTTCTGCTGTCCTCTTCAGCTCGGTCAACGGTTACCGATGATCTGCCATCTTCTCCTTCCCAAACCATCTCCTACATGTCACCCTCACACTGACCACTCACTCGTCACTTCCCATTAGGGCTTCAATCGAGTGATGGCCTGCACTTTGCTCGATATCATTTGTAAGCCTCCTCAACGTTTGCCCGATCCATCTCTATTTTCTCATACATATTTGTTGAGCAATCGGCTCTGGCTTGGTTGGCTTGTTCCCAGACAGAGTTGCTTGTTGCTAACACTTTCTGATCAACCGGTCATTTGATCTTTAATATGGAGCCAGCCAAAAAAGTGGGCACCTGTTGGTAAAAGCCAGCAACTTGCTGGAAATGCTTTTCGTGACACACAGTGCAACTTTCTGACCCGTAGAGAAGAAATGCCTGACTACACATTTGTGTTAAATATCCGAACGTTGTTCTTAATGCCGTGGAGTACAGAAGATTCCCACAGTGATTTCAGGTTTATGAAGGTGTATCTTGCCCCTTCCGATTTTGACTGGCCTTGACATCTTCATCCATTCCATCTGCCTGTGGTTGAAACCGTGCTTCCTAGGTGGATAAGTGAGTGAAGTAACCTCTATTAAATCTCTCCCGTTGATGGTGATTGATTCTGGTTGTTGTTTCTGTTGGTTGGTTGGTTGGTTATCTCCATCACCTCCGTCTTCTCTATGTTCACCTGGAGTTCTGTCTTCGCTGCTGACCTTTTCAGCCAGTTTGTTGGTTTTCGCCTGTAAGTCTTTGAGTTTGTGTGACATCAGGCATATATCATCTGCGAAATCCATATCTTCTAGAGTCTTCTCATCTGTCTTACCCTGTACTTTAATGCTTTACAAATACAATGAAAATAGAAAACTTATTCAGTTATATTTGTTCTACTGTATGTTTTATCGACTATTTAACGACAGAATATGACTGAAACATCTAAACAGGCATCTCAAAAAAGATTTAAGTCACAACATAAGTGTAGTGGAAATCAGTTATTAAGCAAACGGTATTCATGTGTGCTTATGGAATAATAACTTGTAATAAGCATCAATAAAAGCTAACAGAAATGTCAATATTTCTGACAATAATTTAAGCAGACTATTCATTTCAAGTCAACTTATGCTTTAAAATCAAAATTTCACACAAAAATACTGACTGTAAGTAAAGTCTTAATCTCTTCACCACAGTGATTTGCAGTGAAGAACACAAGATTCCCTTTTATGCCCTAACAACTGTAGATCAATATTGACGTTTATCTGGTTAAATAACAGGTAATCTTACTTTCTGTTCAATATACTGAAATTGAAAATGTATATAGAAGTTACTAGCATATCGAAAGTTCGAGTGTAAATTAGAATGCAAACTGGTCTGACCAGTTCTGTGTGCGAATGTATGATAGAGTATTTAAGACTGTAGGTTGGGTTCGTCATTTATTCCATATCAGATAAGTATATCTTGTTAGGATACACAGTGATACAGTACTAATAACAATTATTAATACCGTACCATTATGTACTTTATATTAAATAAATTTAATCAGTAAGGAAATTAAATACAGACTCAGTGCCCAAACTGTATTCCTACTCTGATCATTTATGCACATACTTTTCACATTCTGTATCGACATAATAAACTAGGTATTATTTAGTAACTACCAATAGAATCCAGGATGCGCATATCGTCGTATTTGAGACGCCTCACTTGGACATACTTGCAGTCCTCGCTGAATGAGGGTATCCCGACTGAGAATCAGACCCCAGTGCCACCTATTTCAAACTCCACGTTTCAAAATTACCGGGAATTTCAGGTACGTCCAATTGCTGAGTCCCAAATAGGATGACATGCACATCCTACTTTCCACTACTAGCCAACATCCGCCAAATCATACCATGTTAATCCTCAGATATCGCTGAGGAGTCCATACTAGGCGCTGATATGTCAACACAGACCTCATATTTTAGACCAGCATAATCCGTAAACGGGGAAAACAAATTTAACATAAACAATAATAGATTATTTAATTTGTGGATAGTGACTAGCAGTGGAATCCTGGATGCGCATTTCGTCCTATTTGGGATTCGTCATCTGGATGTATCTGCATTTCCCAGTGAGTGATGATGTTCCCACCGAGGCTCGAACCTGGTGCCCTTATTTTCAAACGACAGGAAAATCTCAAATTCAATTAAAATAAAATAACAGATTACGTATGCTTTTTTATTATGTTATATCACCATATTTCTCTTCTTTTCTTTCTCCTAGGAGGTCAACCGAAATTCATAGACAAACCAAAGATTAAACAATCTGGTAAAAATGTTATCTTTGAAGTTGTGGCTGAAGCAGATCCAGCTCCAGAAATACGCTGGACAAAAGCTGGCACAGAGATTAAAAATTCACCACGTTATAAAACAAATTGTCAAACAGTTGGAAAACAGCACACACTGACACTGGAAATAAATCATGTAACCGCTGATGACGGTGGAGAATACCTAGTGACAGCTAAAAATAAGCTGGGTGATTCAACAGCAACAATTAATTTAAACATTGGTACACCAAAACCGTAAGTTACTTTTAATGAAGTTAGAAAATAATGTTTAAACTTTGATTGAATAAGCACTTCATCGAGACTAATATCTTGCAAACTTCTGGAACAGTATACAGAATTCCCAGCATGATTTATTGCAGAATATTTCCTCCTCATCTAGGATCTTCAAGTAAATTAGCAGTCTTTAGTATAACACATGACACAGTGAATTTGGAATGAAGTATAGACTAATCCCTTAGGATATTTTACCTTCGTCTCCACACCGGTAGTGTGAAAGCCGATTGAAAATGTATGTCAGCACATTTTGCGACTCAAGGACATAACTGAATGGTTAAGACAATGCGAATTAGAGTAAATGTGTTAGGTATGCATTGTGTTAGGTAGACCAGTGATTCAAGCAAGCCGCCAATGTAAAATAAAAAGTTAATATTTCTATTTTAAAATATAAAGATTTTAAAGGTTAAGATATCATAACACTAAGAACTAGCAGTTATTTGATCAATAATATACGTATAAAGATTGCTGGAATAAAATATCAAAATGAAGGATAACAGGCTGAAAAGCAATAGATCCCAATGAAAGGAGCATTATCTTGACCTAACTAGGTATGCTTCTTTATTGAATTATAATATTACTCTTTCCTAAACTTGTCAGCACTAAGGTGTGTGTTCTTTATGGAGGTTTAAACTTTGAATTGATGGGTAGTACAAGAATAAATACACTCTAAACAGGTGGTTCAGCTGATGAGTAAAGTATAAAATTGGAATGTATCAGAAATATTCCTCCCACAGATGTTGTTCTTTACTGAAAGACAATTATTTTAAACGTAATTCGTTATATAAGTAGGGTATTAGGAAGATCTCTGATGTCACAGTATAATATTTGCATGCGAATGTTACAATTCTGGGTGTATTTATCTCTGATAAGAATTCTGCATCATCTAGTTTTCCTTAGATCTAAATGGTATTCCATTGGTTCTTTTCAGGACAGACTTTCATTTAAAAAGGCTTCTTTATTGTTCCATTGGAATGTTAGGTATTGATTAAATGGAATTTTATACTGCACATCTGAGAAATATGCCATTAAAAGAAGTGATCTCTGAATTGTCTTTCATAAAACAGTTCAGCACATTATGCATAGTTAAAGGTGTTTCTGTTTGTCAGCGATCCTGAAGGTTGTCCCGGTTGTCAGACGTAATGCAAAAAATCGAAGTAACACGTTTTTTTACTTGCCGAAAACAGTAAGACGAGTTTAAAATGATACAGATTACCGGTATTGGCAATCCTTCCAGCTATAAAAATACATTGGATGCATTTCACCTAAATCTACGAAAATCGTAATCCTTTAAGTATCTAAAAGCTGTAGGACTTATTCATGAGCTGACATCGATTAGAGAACCATTTGAAAACCTAGTTTGAGAGTTTTAATCAGTATGCACCCACCACTGGGGTTTTGACCCAGGACCTTCTGGTTACATCACCAGTGAACTCGTAGACCATTAAGCCACTGGGACCCAATCCAATGGCCAGGTCATGAATTCTTACTTCTGCCAGTTCATGACATAGGATCGGATCCCAGTGGTCTACGAGCTCGCTAGCGTTGTAACTAAGAGGTCCTGAGTTCGAACCCTGGCAATGGGTGCATACTGATGAAAAGTCCCGGTTTGGGGCAGATGAAACAGCTGTCCATTACTTGCATGTTTCCTCTGCTGCTCTAACTGATGTCAGGTCATGATGAAATCCCCCCTCGCCCAATCAATCAATCAAAAATCACTTAATATTGAATATTATTACAGAAAAGTAGAGGAATATAATTATGCATTCACTCTACTCCAGTTTTTATGTTTACTTCTCTAAATCATACTACTAATAATTTGTTTATTTTAGTGCAACAACAAAACCACCTAAATTTCTTGAAAAACCAGTTATTCGTATGGATAAGCCAAAGAATGAAGTTATTTTATCGTGTAAATTAGAAGCGAAACCAGCTGCTACGCTTACCTGGTATCTGAATGATAAAGAAATACAAGAAATTCCTGGAAAACGTACATGGGAAGTATCTGAACAACCAGATGATGTATATATTCTTGAAATACATATAATTTCACCAAAACCAGAAGATGGTGGCATGTATAAAATTCATGCACAAAATTCAGCCGGAGAGAGTAATGCAAATATTAATCTAAATTTACAGGGTGAGCTTAAATTTTGTTTCGATTTTGATTTTTTTTTCTATACATGACATCTACGTAGACAGTTGTATTGACTTTTAAGCGATAAAAGACGTTATTTTTTCATATGTGTGTGACATCCTGTTGATATATCTGTTCGTTGTGATCAGCCCTAACGAGAAATCACCAACAATCATAAAGTAACTTTAAATCACATAGATTGCAGAATAGGTGGTTCTAGTGGAGGCTTAGTTAATAACTCCCTGGTATCTGAAGCGATGGGTACTTTTCTTTCATCTCAATGGGAACACCATCACTTACTGGGAGAGCAGGTACATCCAAATGACACGTATCAAATTGGGTGGGAGGCGCGTCATAGATTTCACTGCATTGTTCAATGAGTATCTCACAATGTCCCTGATAACTAGCGTTCTTTCTTAATCACTGGACGCTTTATCACAAGTTATTAATGAGGAATTATTTGCTTTAAAAAAATCTATATCTGCATACAAAGCTACCAACAGTGAAAATGAAGGTGTAACAAAAAAACTCACTGTGACCTACAAATGAAGGTAACACATTCCTACCCAATTTATATTGATATTATAGCCCTACTTCTCAGCCTTTCATAATTATCTAACTATCGTAAGCTTCCGCGTACCAACCTAATAGAAACTAGACAGTTATTTAACTAAATATGTTTATTTTTAGCATGAAACATCTTATAACAGCTTGCCACCAATTAATTCTCTCCTAAATTTCATCCATGCAGACCCCTGGTAGAGGTTTCAACTCTACGAAGAAAATAACATATAACAAATTTAAATAAAAATGCTAAGACGTTCTCTATTTGATATTCTTAAAGGTGGAACAACACTTATATGTGTTTAAATTAAAAACACTGCGTTAATAATATGTGAGTAATTGTAATATAGGGTTATTCCTAAAGTAAATGTAGTAAGTTGTTAATCACACTTAAACCACCCGCTCACAGAACTTTGACGTTTTGAATTGATTTCACTGTGGCTGAATAATACTTTAACAGTTATTCATTCTTATATTGGCAAAAAGGCAACACTATACTTATCAGTTAAAGAACCATTAGAAAACCAGCACTGGAATACTGGACAGCTGTTTGATCCGAGTTTGGGAATCATTGGTAGTACACAGCTCCTGAGGTTCAAACCCAGGACCTTCCAATTACAAGACAAGCTCGTATATCATTCAGCCACTGGGACCTGATTCAATCGGCAGCCCATGAATTCTAACTTCTACCAATTCGTGAATCTGGTCCCAGTAGCTGAATGATACACAAGCTTGCCTTGTGACCGGAAAGTCCTGAGTTTGAACTTCAATGTTGCGTACTAATGAAGAGTCCCGGACCGGGATGAAACAGCTGTCCAGTACTCCCTGGTTTTCAATGGTTCTCTAACTGATATCAATTCGTAAAAACAAATCTAATCTTTACAATCCAACTATTGAAAACTAAACTTATCCCTGGCCGACGCAGTCCTTTGCCTCGCTAAGCCAGTAATAAGAATGGTGAAGAGGGAAGGTTGGGCATGAGGCTACCAACTCAATCCTGCAAAAATAAATACCTCGTCTACTGAAACTCCAAAGCTTTAATTTAAAGCCATATGTTCCATTAGAAACATGTTGGAATAAAATAGCAAAATATAAACAAAATAAATGAAGAAAACACTTATTTTTCGTTGTTGTTGTAACAATTTATTTTTTCAGTAAAACAGAAAGATTGAAAAGTGTACAAATAATATTTTTATATTAGCAATTTATCTCACGAAAAATAGTCATAAACAACAATATAATGGTGATTTACCCAGCTTAACCAAGACTATCCCAGGTATGTGATGAAATACCTTCCGGGTGGAGATTCATTTCCTGACTAACCTGTAATTTTCTATTTCTATCATTTGTGGGAAAAGTCTTGGTAAAATGCATATCTCTGTGCTGCAATATCCCCCACGTAGAATCAGTTATTAACAAAGACGTAAAATCTGAAAGTAAGCGGCTAGGGAGACATCAAGTTGTATCTGATACATTTTAAAAACTCATCAAGTGTAATATCTTTAAACAGTTGTTATAGATATATGAAATAGTCGTTAGGCTTAAAATCATAAATTCACACAGAAAGCTGCAAAAATACAAAAAAGAACTACTGCATGCAAAGATTCTAAAGGTAAAAACAAATTAGCAAGGAAATATTATTAAACACTTTCTATAGTAGTCTTAAAGAAACGAAACGTGAGAGAAAAGATAGCAGTGGATCGGTGGATAGTGGGTGACAGATTCGTTAGAACAAGGCATAAATTACAGTAATAAATTATACCTTCAGATGCTCACTGTTTGTTAACCGACTTTACAACGGATGTAGTACACAACGGTTATTCTAGGTTAATTTAATGTGAAGTAATTACTTTGCTCTCTGAATACAATCATTGTAAATATTAGTAGTGGTAATAAACGGGGCTCAATTATCCTCAATAAAAGTACTGCAACCATTTTAATAAGTCAATACTGTTGAATCACTAATATGAGTAGTTTAAATACTACTCATAACAATCAGTGGTACTTGCTTGCCAGGTTGAAGTAATCTAAACACTGGACGATAGTTTTGCTCATTTGGGCCCCAGCTAATCAGCTCAGACAGCTGAATCATTTCAAACCACCTGAATTCTGGCTGACTACCTGGGTGAAGTGGTAAGACATTGGATCAGATTCACACTTTACAACTTCCACAGACTGAGATACCATTTCAAGAGAGTTTCCTTTTAGAAATCACTCTTATTATAATATGTGATGTGCTCTATACCAATCAAAAAAGCAAGCATACATGAATGATGCATGCTATGCATTAGTGACTCAATGAAATGTGAGTAGTTGGACACCACTCACATTTATGTAATTGAGCAAAATCACATATATTGTGATTTGAGTCGTTTCGGTTTTCATGTAGTGAAATTTTACCCTCAAACTGTGTAAACTGCAAGTTGAAAATTAACCTGCTTTAATTTATGCAAAATCATTAAAAGATACAGTGGAATTATGGACCAGACACCTTGACCCTACCATAAGTATGTTATTTCGTGTGAAGTCATAATTCTATGGTGCAGTTCGTACTAATCTCTCACCGTAAAACAGTTGAATTTACGCGCTAAAACAAGGCACATCACATCAACACAATAACTTATTATTGTTATTCAACCATACTCAGCTAACTTGACAGCTAGGTATAAACACTAGTGTAAAAACAATGTGGTCATGATCAGGAAATATGACAAAAGCTGAGACTGGTACTTGATTCTGTCAAGTAACCTATAAGTTACGAAAATTATATAACAGCTGATTTAATTCAGTTTAGATTTCCCCGTTGACTGATTGGATAGAGGTGCTCTGTCTCATGCTGACATGTCAGCTGCTTGTGTGGATTCTTCGACAATGTCTAGTCGTGTAACTTGAAGTCAATTAGTGGATGATGACTAGCAGTGGAATCAAGGATGGGTATTTCGTCCTGTTTGGGATTCGTCATTGGATATACCTGCATTCCTCCCCAGTGACTGGTTACAGGAGGAAGCTGTCTGCAGTTTTAGTGAGAAGTCGTGATCACTGAGGTTCACCAGATCGGGTATGAGGACAGATACTCCCCGACGACATTAGCTGGTGGTCACGCCAAAAATCATGGATTGATAGAAGTTAGAGTCCAAGGATCATTGGATCGGGTTCCATTGACTGAATGGTATAAGAGCATTCCTTGTAACCGGAATGTCCTGACTTCACACCTCAGTGGGTGTGTACTATCGATGAATCCTAAACTAGACTGAAACTACCGTCTAGTACTCTACAGTGGTCAAAGGTGAAATAAACTAAATCCAATATGCGTAATACTCACCATTAGGTTAGGATAAAAGTATAGATGTCACTCAGTAATCTGTAAGCCTAATTATTTATGCCTTAGAACCTTGTCTGCAGTTGTTCCTTTTTCTGTCACACAAATGAATGATTCTTGTATCAATCCAGAGACCATGAATATGGCTTTCTTTAAAAGAATTTCACTAATTATCACTGGTGAAATAGTAAAATAAATTAGTCAGTGTTAGTTTCTTTACATTAAGCAAATGTTGAAATATAATAATAGCCTGAAAGGAATTTTGTTATGCAAAGTACATTCACATATGTATTTCCTCTTCTTCTTCTTGTTTTTCTGATTTTATGAATGTTATCTTGGTTGCTCTCTCTCCTGATAATGAGATAAAAGAACGCTGGGTTTTATTTTTTTTTTTTATGACTTCAACCAGTATAGTGTACTTTTTAGTATAATTTTTTATGTCATTACAATTGTATAGTGCAGATTAAGAGAAGTAAATGTAAGAGGTGACATAAAAAAAAATATGAAGTATTATTTTTGATTACGGTCGTAACCAATATTGTGCTATCTTATTTGCATAACTATTTCGCTTTAATTGTACACATTAAAGAACACATTCCACATGGGATAAATAAGCTGTGGGAGGGGGGAGGGGTTGAGTGTGGTTTAGAAAAGAATATGTTGGTATACAAGTTAAGCCAAAAGAAAGTACCAGTGTTTGTGTTTTTATGTGTGTGTGTGTGTGACAGAGAGAGAGAGAGAGAGACAGGAAGGGAGATGCGGTAATAAAAATATCCCTAAGAGGATATAATATTACTAAAATCAACTTTATTCACATAGTGGTCATATGACAAAATTCTAAAGTAGAAAGCCAAGAAATAATTTTAACTGTATATATATTTACTAAAATAAAGTTTATTTTCTTTCACAGATTCCCTTTTTGTTGACCTTTTCTTATTTCTTTATATTCTGAGTAAAACATAGGGCTTCAAGCTAGTGTTTTAAAGTTTTGGATAGCAGTGGTGTTTATTTTTCAGAGGGTAGGGTTGCTAGCCTTTACGCTAAACCTTCCTTCTCTACCAGTCTTATTATTATCATAGGCTTAGCAAGGTTTAAGAGTAGGTAAGTAGGTTACAGGATT